AAACATTATGATAGGCTTGATACACCCCAATAGACCTGTTTACAGGTCGGACTTCGGACCCAACTTTTCACTGTTTCGTGCTCGGGCTTCGGGTCAGGCCTATTCAAAATTTGGCAAGAAGCCAAGCCTGAGCCCTACCCACGAACATGTCTACACCCCAATACATTGTGATTTTTTGACCCGTGGTGGGATGAGATAAGTGCAATAATAGGGTTCTATGAGGAACCATGGTGTTTAGTAGTGCAATAATAGTGTTCTATGAGGAACTATGGTGTTCATGAGTAAGGTATACTTGGTCAAATGTGCATAGTGTTTGCTTGAGGTTGTATATGTTCCTTTTTAGTTGGCTTTTGAGGGGCATTGAAGGGGTCAACTTTTAGAACAATATCTAGGTCCACTTGGTTGTTAGCCTAAGTCAAGAGATGGAAGGTGGGATTGGACCATACCCCTTTAAGTTTGCTCGAGGTTGGGTGGTAATTTGATGAAGTGGATAGGTGGTACATTTCATGGGAATTAAAATGCTAAAGGTCAAGTTGAAAGTGTGAAACAAAGGGCATGTTGGGCAACTTGATAGCAAAGAGGACAATGGATATTAAGGAATGAATTGAAGGATGCATTACTTAGGTAAGAGATTATATCATGGAGATAGAAATCGAGACAAATTGGAAGTGGATGGTAGGATTTTAAATTTGGAGGAAATAGCAAAAGGCTTTATGGATCATTTTAATTGATCTTTAGAAGACCTTTGGAGAGGAGATTCTTGGTTGAAGGACTTGAATGGCCATATTTAAGATGGGACCAAATTGAGGTTCTTGAAAAAAAAATGATTTGGTGAGGATGAAATAAGAGTGGCGTTTTTTTTTTTCAATAGACAAATGAAAAGTCTTTAGGCGAAATGGATTTTCAATGGCTTTTTACTTGGAGTTTTGGGGGATAATTGAGGATGATTTGATGGAGGCCTTTTAGGAGTTCTACAAAAGGGGAATAATTATTCCAGTGTTGTAGAACTCCCAAGGATTCTAGACCTCTTAGTTTGGTGACAAGTGTTTATAAAATCTTTGCCAAGGTGCTGTCCTTGAGACCGTAAACGGTTCTCCCCCATATTACTTCTTCTACACAAGTAGCCTTTGTGGAGGAACATGTCGGGGAACAAGGGGATTAGGGTGCCTTCAAACTTGTCATCACTCGGTGTTGGTGAACAGGGTAGTGTAGGTTTTTTTCCCCAGTGTGTAGAGGGCTCAAGCATGGGTATCATTTGTGCCCATTCTTGTTCATTTTGATAGCTATCGTCTTCAATAGATTAGTCTTAAGAGAAGATAAAATGCAGCTAATAACAGTGATTTAAAAAGCGTGCCTAGGCGCATAGGCGAGGCACATTTCAAGGTATGCGCCTCGCCTAGGTCCTAGGCGCAGCCCTTTCAAAAGGCGCACACCTGGTGCACCTAGGCGTGCGCCTGATGCGCCTTGCGCCTCAGCCCAGGCGTGCGCCTAGAGGGGCAGCAATTAAAGTGTCTTCTTAAAAAGCAATTAAAACTATAAAATCATTATTTTTTGTGTGAAAACTAAGAATTTAAGACCTAACGTGGACTTGTTTGGGCTTGCCTTGAGGGGCGTGGCACAAAGCCAGCTCGTAGAATCAGGAATGTAATATGTTTTTCATTACATTAGCTATGTGAAGTACTGCAATTGAGTGGAAAAAATAGAGGTTTTACATGCTTGAAAATGTTTTATATGTTTGATTTTATTTTTAAATTCTCATTTGAATATGCTTTACATCTTATGTTTATGTATTTTCCTTTTAGTTAATAGGTTTTTAAAGCATTATTTTAAAATTTTAGTTTATATTTTTTATTAATTTTATGTTTAATATAATTTTTTGATTTTTATTGATTTTTTTTGACATTGTTCTTTGATTTGTTAGCTTTTTTTTTTTAATTTTTTCGCCTTGCATAAAAATGGCGCGTGCCTCGCCTTGCGCCTCTAGCGCAAATTGACCCCTGCGCTTTTAAAACACTGGCTAATAAGGGATTGGAGAATAGATAAGTAAAATGTTATGATTACTAATTTGCAATTTGTGGATGACATCGTCTTGTTCTGTGAAGGTGGTGGGTTGCATTGGATAGAAATTTAAAGTTGATGTTGAATTGTTTGAGAGCTTGTCAAACTTGAGAATCAGTTTTGAAAAAAATGGTGTGGCAGGTTGATCAATAAAAAGTGGTTTGATTGGGGTAAATATGAATGAAAGGGAAATAATGGGGTGTTTGGTAGTTGATTGGCCAATGAAATATTTATGTTTACCTCTAGGAGCCGACTTGAGGGAGCATGCCTTTTTGAACTTGATTCTAGAAATGGAATCTAGATGTCTTGTAGTGTAGATTGTGGAAGAGGATTTACTTATCTCTAGAAGGAATGATCACCCTAATCAAATCTACCTTAGCTAACCTCCCTGTGTACTATTTGTCAATACTTAAAATATTGCAAGGGGTCGCAAGGGACTTCTCGTGGGAATGTGGGAGGGTCGGAAGGACCATCTGGTGAAGTGGGAAATAGTGTGCAAAAATAGAAGGCAAGGTATGTTAGAGTGGTTAATTGATAAGAATATGGCCCTGTTGGGATGTGGTTATGGAGATTCCCTAGAGGTAGAGATAAACTTTGGTGTAGGGTGGTTGGTAGTGTTAACAGTGTGAGGCACAATGGCTAGATACAAGCCTTTTTGTTCGAGTGACAAAGTCTTTTCCATGGAAAGTAATATGCAATATTCTACTTTCCTTTTTTTTGATCAAATTCTACTTTCTTTCCTTAATTGGGTCAAATATGATGTCTGCTCTAGGGACATGATTTTATTTTGGGAACAGGTTTGGTTGGGTGATTTACCTTTGAAGGACCGTTTTCCTTGCTCTTTGTTGCTACTCTTAAGGCCTCATTCACATCTCGGTAAATGACTTATCTGGGCAAGTGTTTCTTGGGAAACACTTATTTGTATAAGATCCGATGTCTTTTATTCCCCAGGTAAAGGTGTACAATGACCGATTTATCCAAAAAAGTGTCATTATTGAAGGGACAATATTGTCCCATCATGTATTAGCCATTTTCGGTGTGCATGTGTAAGTAGTTTACCCAGGTCTGAGGAGAGTATTACTTCCCTAGGTAAATGAGCTGTTCGGGAATTGTTCTTTTCCGCAAGACCCACTAATACCAAAAAACGAACGTGGTTTAATTCTTTTCCATGGGACCTACCAAGTTACCTACCCCTACTTCCCGAAAAACGAATGAGGCCTAACAAGGAACCTATTTCCGAATTCATTGTGCCTTCTTCTAATGTGTTTAATAGGGACGTGGGATTACCTTCCAATTAATTACTTAGACCTCCCTTTAGGAGCCAAGTGTAAGTGTAACTCTTCTTTCGTTTGGTGCTCAATGCTTGAAAGGTTAGAAAGAAAACTAACTTCATGGAAAGGAAAATATGTATCCAAGGGAGGTGGGATCAGCCTTATTAAAAGCACTCTTGTAAACCTCCCAATCTATTACTGATTCTTGTTCCCAATCATTGCAAAGGTAGCAAAATGATTGAGAAGCTTCAAAGAGATTTTCTTTGGAAAGGGGTGGGAGGGGAAGAAAATTCATGTATTAAATCGGAGCCAAATCTGTGCCACTTTGGATCAAGGAGGACTAGGTATCAAAAAAATCAAGGACTTTAATACAGCTCTCCTTTGTAAGAGGATTTGGAGGTTTAGGTCTGGAAAGGACGGTAGGACCCTACTGTTTTAGAAAGGTCCTTGGTGCTTGGAATCTCCCTCGGAGAGGCTCTTCCCTCAAATTTCTCAAATTACTGAAAAGAAGGAAGCTGCGATGATAATTGCTGTGAGTTGGTGGAAGGAAATTTGGTCTGGGCCCGTAAGTTTGGAAGAGGCTTTCAGGACTTGGAATTGGATTGTATGTTTGGCCTACTCCAGCTTCTTAGGATCAGACCCCTAGAGAATACTGCTCTGACCAATGGAGGTGGAGATGGAACAGCGCTAGCCAATTCTCAGTTAAGTCTTTTCCAAGCAGTGTTAGAGATCATAACAATCTCTCCTTCCCTGCCAAGCTAATATGCAACCACCATATCCTTTCCAAGGTGAACTTTTTACTATGGACCGTCTCTTGGGAGATGTCTCACCAAGGACCTGCTGCTCTGCATCCACTGCCCTGTAGTTGCTAAGCTGTGGTTTCATTTTATTGGGGCAGAATGTGTATGTTGGGCTATGCCCAGATCCACTACAGACGTGGTGTTGGGATGGACCCTGATGGGTGGGCTTCAGTAAGAAAGAAAACACATTTAGAATTCTGTTTCTGCTGTTGTAATTACTACCATCTGAACCGGAAGAAACAATGGAATTTTCACTTTTCAGAAACATTTCCAAGGATGTTGATGAGTTAATCTTGTTTCCTGGTGGCCAAATTCGGTCTTGGACTTCTGTTGCAAATAACTTTAGAAATCAAAATACTGTTCTGTTGTTGAACTCGAAGGGTCTGTGGTAGATTTGATGTTCTCTCCTTCCAGGTGGGGATTGTTGTTTCCCTTGTGACCTGGATGCTTGTCATACTGTATCAGTGTGTGTTTTTTCTTTCAGCAATAAAATTCTACCTTGCCTTTTTTCAGAAAAAAAATATTGACATGGGCAACTATTTTATATGCAGAGTGGAAATGGTTGTTATTAATTTTGTTAATTATTTATGAAATATGTTGTATAATTAACCTTTCCATTTTTGTTTATTTTGTGGTTCTTATTATTATTATTACTTTTACAATACATCATTAAAAAAAGCTATTTGAACCCACTATTTATGGTTATGTGACTCCATTTGTTTAGTCAACATTAATCTGACTCATAATTACACGAAATATTAAGTTCTGCTTTTGCATTTTGTCATGGCTTCTTTTCTTAAAATAAGCTATTTCCTTTCATAAGCTAGTTATTTTCTTTTTTTTTTTTTTTTAATTCTTCTTTTGTTTCTAGGATGAATGCAAACGTTTGCGCCAGAGTATAAAGTGTGGATTGATTAATCGGCTCACAGTGGTAATGCTACATGTTACTTCCAAATTATAGATTTCAGTATGGTATGTGGACTACTGATCAAAGAAAAAGTCAGGTATGTGGACCCTTATATTTACCCTAAGAAGTTTTGTGGTTGCTTGTAGGGTGAAGTTCAAGAGAAAGCAATGGCACTTCAGGCAGTGAGAGTCAATGATGTAAGTTTATTAACTGTGTTTCTCCTCTCAAGCACAAAATCATGATTCATCCTCCCTCTTATCTCATCTGCCTTGTTTCTTCTTTTTTGTGGTTATCTCTAGAAATTCTCTTTTTTGATTTATTCATGTATGGGGCAAGATGCATATGTGTTTATCTGGAAATACTTCGGATAATGTTGAGTAATACGTCATTATATCTTTGCCTCATTTTTCTTATAAAAAAAACTTATCTGAGAAATTCTCTGGCATCTGATTTCATTCTTGACATGGTCCTATCAGTAACACTTTTTATTTATGACAGTGTTTGGAGTCGGAGAAGCTGAGGCTTAGTCATCTTCGTGACCGGGCTAGTGAAAAAGGGCGCAGAAAGGAATATCCTTTGTTTAGATATGTTGATATTTGCATCATATCATGCATACTTGTGATTTCTTTTATGCTGTAATCCATCATATTATTTGTCAGTTAATGTTTCTACAATCCTACTCTCTTTAGCACTTAGTCTGGTCGAAGAATTTGTTGGGTGATGTACAAGCTCTGCTACAACCCATAGAACTTGAATATGGTTTAGGCCACCATCCTGGTTTTGCATACTTTTTTCCATCTTCTATTCTGAAAATAATGGATATATGCAAGAAATAAGCAAATATATAATAAAGAGAAGAGAAAACTTGTGTGCCTGTAATAGGGCTGAGAATCCATCTTGATTCTCATGATCACTAATCATTGATATTATATATACTAATGATTTGAATACAAAGTTGCCTCTTAATAGGCACCTACTAATCTGCCCCAGTACAAAGTCAAGATTACCCTTCCATACTCAAAGAACATGTTAACAGCCAATTTTTTGGCTATAGACTGAACAATCATTTGGGTTGAGTATATTTTTGGGTGAAAGAGGAATTATTCTAATTGGTCTGAGGCTGAAAATGAGCATGAGATAATTCTTAAATGAAGTACTCTGAATGCTTCTTTCTTGATGATTAATATGAACATATTTTAGGTAATTATAGAATGCTTGTCTATATAATATAATGATGAAATTTGCATCACATAATGATATATTCTGTGCTTACCAATAAAATGGGATGACTGGATTACCGGATTTCAGACTATCTGGAAAAATATATTCCATAATTTCATGTGCTTATTTATCATGCTTTGTAAGATGAAATCTGCAACTTTCTAACAAAACAAGTAATATGTTATTTGCACCTTTACTAATTAAGTTGAAGTTGAACTTCAATGGCAGCAGTTTGGGTAACCTGGGACCCTCTGGAATTGGAGGGGTGATAAAGGACTAAGGTGGAATAATTCAGGGTTTGTTTTCAGGATCAATAGGAGAAGGAAATTCAATCAGGGCAGAACTACTGGCTGTAGTTTTGGCGTGCAGAAAGCAGTTCAGATGGGGGTGAAGAAACTTGTTATTGAAGGAGACTCAAAAGTTATTACAAGCTGGTTGATGAGGGCTGATAATGCTCTATGGACTTACAGGAATGAAATAAAAAAATTCAGGTGGTTTTCATAGGATATGCAACTGAAAGTTAATTGGATTCCAAGAGCAGCAAATAGTTTGTCTGATCTGTATCAAAACAAGGGGTGAATAGAGAGCAGTGCTTTTGGGCTCAATTGTAAATCATATTGGGACAAGAAATAGCAGTTTCTGTTCTCTCAAGGGTTATACATCATACTGTATAAATCTGAGGATATAATGGGGTAGGCATGGCTACCAAAGTGCTGTCCTCTTCTTTCTCTTATCTTTTAATGATATTTTCTGTTTCTGATAAAAAATATTTATTACTAGAAAGCAATTAGAGATGGATGCAATTGTCTAGTGGAAAAGAAAATTGGGCCTTAAGGTCTTTAGGGAAAAAAGAAACTAAAACAGTGAAACAAGAAGACTAGTTCAAGGTGGATTGTTGGAGTGATGATCCTCTATAATAGTTGTCAAGGCAACTAGGCGATTCTGGGTGACACTGGGTATCTAGTCAACTGGGCCAGCACATAGGTGATAAGAATTTTATAAAATAAAGAACTAACATTTAGCTAGTTCCCTAGTCTTATATACCATTCAACATGTATATGAATTGAAAAAAATAGCAATTCTCTTTATTGTGAACGTTAAATTCTCTCTCAAAACATGGCAAATCATCATAGCTAAAAGATACAAATCCTGCAAGGTGCAACTGGTTGGATGGTAAGGCCTCCTGCTGATTGTAGCAGAGGTTTGGGATTGAATCCTGCCTGCACCAGGGTTGGGGGATGGGCTATCCCTCATTATGGAGTTCCATGGAGCTATATATATTATATATTAAAAATAATACTAATATTTTTTTTGATAAATAAATATTATAATATTAGTATTATTTTTATTTTTATATATATAAAAATAATACTAATATTATAAGTATTTAATTGATCAATTTCATATCGCTTAGCAACTAAAGGAAGCTGTGTTTTATATGATAAACATTCAGAATGGAAAGTGAAAGAGAAAGAGGCAAGGATGGAGTTACTCTTTTATTTAATGTAATAGAGAATAGAAAAAACCAAAAAAAAAAAGAAAAAAAGAAACCTCTTTATACTTCTACTATTTCTTTCTCTTCTCAAAACCCTATGACCTTTTATATTTCAATAGTAAAACACTAAAGCAATGTATTTAGATAGAATAGAATGTATTGACACACATACTAATAAGATGTAGCAGTATAAATGATATTATAATAAGGCACCCACTTTGTCATTTTTGTCACCTAGGTGGGCGCCTTGTCACAATAAGCCAAGGCATTTATAGGAGTGCAACTTTGGTGGGGCACCTTGGATGTGAGGGTTCTTTGACAACTATGACACGACTCCTTTCTATTCTCAGCCACAACTTCAGCTAGCCTATCTGCCAGTAAATTTGAATGTTAGAGCTTTAGCCTCTAAATAATGGTGGATGCTCAAAGGACCCTCACATCCATGCATGTGCCAATCTATAATAATTTATCACTCTCCTTCAATATCCAACTGTCGTATAGCTAAAATGATCATGAATTTGTGGTTAAATTTCTGCTTGAACAAAACCACTTAGGCTGCATTTGGCATTCCTTTTTTTAAGGACTTATCTCCTTTTTTGCAGTTAAAGTGCCCCTATGAACACTGAGTTTTTAACTGCAAAATGGAGATAAGTCCTTAAAATAAGGAATGCCAAATGCAGATATGTTATAGAGAGCCTAGACATGCCAACAAAATGTCAAGCTGCATCCTGAACACCGCCCCTCTTCCTGATGATCCTTGTTTCCCCAATGAGCAACCATCAAAATTTCGGCTTTCCACTCCTTGTGGGGGAAGAGGCCAGGTCATCATCATCATCCAAGCCATTTCCCAATTATATGAGGCCATCTACATGAATCCTGTTTTTCCAGTCCGCTCTGTTTAATGTCATATCCATTGTTAATTTATTGACACTTGATAATTTCTTACCACTACCCATGTCCATTTTGGTCTACTCTTTTCCTTTCTATCCCCTTGAACTCTAGTTATTACTTTCTGTGGAGGAGGATGAGCCAACAATGTTTGTTTATCCTCAAGTCATCATAAGGAGAATGGCAAAAACAGGCAATGAATTAGACTTTTGAACGAACTCTCTCAGTCTCACTAACCAACAGACAATGAATTAAACTTCTTCCTCCTCAGAGTTGTTGGTATCTTTCCTCCATCATTATCATTGAAACCCTTTAAACAAAGCTTTTTAACCCCAAACTTTTGAGAGAAGGAATAGGATTTTTTACTTGCCCTATATGTTATACCATCATTCTTTTATTCTTTAATTTTTTTTATGCATTCCTTTTTTGGAAGCCATTGTTCTTTCTCCTCTTTATTCAAGTGACAACTCACTATCTGATATTTGTTTGCATTCCAGGGTTTTTGTGTCTTTTTGTTAGTACCATTTTTAACTTGTAGAATCACCACTCCTTGTTTTTTTTTTCTGCACAGATAGATCAATTTTCAGGTTTGGTCAAAGCTACAAAATGTAAATTTTAACTATTCCAACTAAGTATTTGGTAGCCTAAAATTCGAAAAAGCAAACTTTTTTTTTTGTTTTCTATGATTAGATACGCAGATTTTGAACTGCTTCTTTTCAAACTGGTTATTTTATCATTGTTTCTATTGAACTGATTGATCCATTGATCTTCTATAAGTATGCGGTAGGCAAACAATGGGCAAATACATGATAGATAAAGCTGCAAATTCAATTACTTCAATGAAAAGCTGTAAATTCAAATAACAGAAGATCATTCAAGGTGACATGATAATGAATTAGTGATATGAGAAATCCTATATGAATATGATATAAAGGACAAACTATAGTCTGGATTCCTTGGTGTACAACAGTATAACAGTTCTATGAGCAAGTACGAGATGCAATAGTGCTTGATGAGTCTGCCTTCTCGAAGAATTAGATATAGCCATAGACAAATACAGTGTATGCACACAATCATGAAATAATGAGCCTTTTTCTTCTTTTTAATAATGTTCTGAAGATTGTTAATAATTAAAAAATGTATATTCCTATTTGCAACTTAATAAATGTGGCTAAGTTTTAACTGTAAAAGGCCTAGTAATGGGAAATAAGCCTAGTCCTAAAATGAATTGCAGGTTTAGAAATATTTTATTAGATGGAAGATCCAAAAATTTTCTTGACTATTTTTACTTGTGTAATTTAATCCTCTACATTTGAATTACAAAATAAATTAGTGATTTCTAACTGCGACCATTGTAGAAAGTGACTTTTCTGAAAAATTGAATATATATTTTTTATGCTAACTATTTTGATTCAAATATTATTCTTCTATAAATGGAATAGCAATCTTAGCATGAATTGATTTAGGAATGGGCCATATCTATTTTATTTTATTTTTCTCTTGAGGCTTAAGCCACAAACCACCTTGAAGTTTATGCCTCGCCTCTCCAAGTCCTATCTGCCTCACCTTTGCCTTTAGCCTTTTAAAACTTTGACTCAACGGTTGGGGTGGTCCATTGCAACCTGGGTGACTAGGGTTCAAATCTTGGAAACAGCTTCTCTATGTAACTGCAGGGGCTGCATATATTTGCCCCTCCCCAGACCCTGCATTGGCGGGTGCCTCCTGCACTGGGCTTCCCTTTTAGAACAAAGAAATGACTTCAAATCCCTGAAACTTGAGCACAATAAACTAAGAGATGGTAAGTTGTCCCATCATCAGCCTTATGAGGGAAACAAAAGGATGTTAAGTTGTGATCGGCAGAAGATGAAAGTAGAATTTACCAGCCTATATAATGCCAGAATGCTGCTATTGTACTGAAAAGCTATGGTACCTAACAAATTGATAACCAATCAACAGGTAATTTCATTGAAATTCCTGTGACAATTTGATTGATTAAAATATTTTAGGTTCGGTACCTTTTTGGCATGGTAGAAAGTGTGACGGTACAATGTACTAGGAAGAGATAAAACTTCTACCAAATAATGTATCGTGGTGATACCAACAGATGAAAAAATGATTTGTTTTGATCTCTGATTATTTGATGCCCTTGCCTGAATAGCGAGGAGATGATTGGGATATAATTGCTTTCGAGTTTTTCTGTTCTAGTGGTTTGAGATGTTGTAGGTTTCTTTGGATTTCACATTTGTTCCTTGGCATATATAAACATAGCAGAGCAAACCAAAGGCAGTCTCTATTTTGTGTAAATGTAATATTTATACGAATGTACTTTTAATTGTTCCTAAATATCTGCATTCTTCATTGCTATCATTTGTACACAGTCTACTAAGTACTGAAAGTATGTTGAGTCATCCTTGACTTGGTTTCACGCTTAGAGAGCTTGTGGAAAAATTGCAGCTTCTAAACACGCCAGAGGAGCTTTCACGTAGACTACAAGAAATTCCAGAAGTGCATGCTGATCCAAATATGGATCCAAGTTATGAGTCTGAAGAAGATGAAGGGGAACCAGATGATAAGAATAGAGGTTTCCAAATTTCAGTGTCAAATTTGATCTTCCTATTTTTCACTATTGTATTTAAATTTTTACTTATCTTTCTTTTTGATTGTTGGTATCTTTCTGTATCCTCATTACTTACGTATTTTGCTTGCAATGGATGCAGATAATTTTGTCCGGCCAAGAGATGATGGATTTAGTAGGAAGGGAAGAGAGAGGGAGCCCATCTCTCCCGGAAAAGGAGGTTCAGCTACATATGACGGCTGGAGTGGAGCTCGGAAAAGTTTCTCGAGTTGGGAATCAAGCAAAAATGTTTCCATGAGAAGTCTTTTGGACAAAGGAGATGGAGCCATAGGGTCCAGTGAGAGAACACACGCATCTACATGGAATCAAGGAAGAGATACTTCTGATTCAAGCAGTTGGGAGAAACCTAAAAACCAGACAGTTGTCACTGGTTTGGATACTGGTGGTTGGAATACCCAAGGTGCGGTTAGATCAAGCATACCGTCTTCTGGGTCTGCACCCCTCTCTGCAGGTACAGCTCTGTCAACTAACATCAATGAGACTGAGAAAATGTGGCACTACCAGGACCCATCTGGGAAAGTTCAAGGGCCATTTTCTATGGTACAGCTGCGCAAATGGAGTACAACTGGATACTTTCCTGCTGATCTGAGAATATGGAGGTCAACAGAAAAACAAGAAGACTCTATTCTTCTGACTGATGCATTGAATGGGAAGTTCCTTAAGGACTCGTTACGGGTAGGCAACAGCTTTTCACAGCCTCAAAAAGTTATACCTGCATCTGATAATAGGGAAAGTAGCTGGAATGGTGGTTGGAGAGGGAACAATGGCACTTCTGATAAAGTCGATGGATGGGGCTCTCGGTCATCTGGTTGGATCGCAACAGCACCTGAAGTTGTTAATCATAATGAAACACAGACTGGAGTTACTTCACGAGGCTGGAGCTCATCAAGGAGTACCAATGCTTGGTCTGTTCAGCCGCAAGTACACAATCAACACCCCTCACCCTCATTTTCTGGGAAGCCATACAGAATGCCATCACATCAGGGAAGAGAAGGTCAAGGTGGTGAGAGATGGAATTCTGGTCAGAATCGTGGGACTTGGAACCCAAATAAATCTACAGGGTTTCAGTCTAGTAGTGGGCATGGTTATGAGAAGAGATCCAGTAACTGGGGTTCTTCTGGCCAACCGTCTGCAGAAAGTTGGAGATCTCAATCAGGAAGCAGTTCTTTGAAGGGATGGAGTAGTCCATCCTCAGGCGAAGCCCATAAAGTTGCAAGAGAAGGGTGGGGTTCTGATCAAGGTAGTAAAACTGATTCAACAAAACTTCTCACTCCTACTCCAGGGGGCAATATTGTGCAGCATTCAGTGTCTGAACCTCTCAGGACTGCTTCTGGCTGGGGGGAGCAGCCTCATATCTCTCTGACATCATATGCTGGGAGCAGGGACTCTGGTGCTGCTTCAGTGCTTAAGCCATCTGATACATCAGATAAGGTAAGCAGAATTGATTTTTCAAATCCTCCTACTCCTACCCCAAAGTCTGGCAGTGGTGGCTGGGCAGGGAGTCAGGGTGTTGAAAATAAATTAGCTACAGCTCCAACGGCGACTGCTCAAGAAACAAACTCCTGGGGTAATGCTAGCAATCCATCAAGTGATGTGATGCAGCAATCAGTTTCCTCGTCTAATGAACCTATAAAAATTAATGCTGATTTGGGTAATCAGATGTATAATCCAGCAAAACCTCCTGCAGAATTGGACTCAGGTTCTGAAAGTGGCAAGCTGGCATATTCTAGCACTGTGCCTGTTTCCACTAAGCCAGCAGCAGATGGAATTGATGGTTCTGATGTTTCTCAGACAAGTATATCTGGATCCAATGGTTTTGATTCTCTGGCCAATCAGGCGGTTTTTGGCCTTCCCCACCAAAATGATAGCGTAGCATTTTCAGCTGGCTCAGTTTCAAAAGGCGGTGAGGATTTGATACAGGGTCCTAAAAATGATTGTTCATTGCATGATATAGTCATTCCTTCAAGCTCTGCAAACAATAATCAGATCCCTTTGCAATTGACTTGTGATGATAAGCAACATGGGGTTGCAAGGGCTCTTGATCAGAAAGAGAAATTTGGATGTGATTCTTCTCCAAGTGCTCATGTTGACAAAGAATCTAGACCTTCTGATGTTTCAGTGCAACAAGATCCAGTTGTAAAGTGCCACCCTGGCACTCTTATGCTTGGTGCTGATACTGTGTCAAATGAAAGTTCACCGTCACAAGCTGCTGTCTCAAGTGTCCCAGGCTTGGCTTCATCTGTTAATGGTAACAATCCTCCAGATGGATCTCATGGAACAGCACATGGTTCAATTCAAGGGCTGGAGATGGTTGTTTCCAGTCCAATAACCCAATTTCAATCTCATGGACCTGGAGATGCTCCTGCTTTGAAACAAGAACTGCCTACATCAAGTCCTGTGCCTGCCACAGGTCAAAAATCAGAAGCAGCAACTGCAGGCCAGTGGGGTGATGGCCAATCTTCTGGAAATTATTCTGCTGTAACGCTTGGTGCTGCTGACCACACCAGAAGTTATTGCAATCCAGGCGTCTCAGTTCCCAACTCTTCTAGCAATTTCATAGGCCCAGCAGGGATAGAAGGCAGCAATTGGTCAACCCCATTGACAGCTCCACCTACCAAGACTTCGAACTGGGGAGTAGGTGCTGGTGCTACACAAGGTAGCACTCAGAACAATTATGTTGCTCCCTCTGACCCTCGAAAGCCTCTAATGCCAGGTAACCAATGGGAAATGGGATCAAACATCCAGCCTCCTGCAGCATCCACAGCAGTTTGGGGTGCAGGTTCTTCGGAGAATCCAGCTTCTGCTTGGGGACCAACACAGGGAAACGCAAACATGGGCTGGGGAGGATCAAATCAAGGAAATTCCAATACAGGTTGGGGATCTGGCCAGGGAGCAACAATGCAGGGAAATACAAATGTGGGTTGGGGTGCACCGGCTGGAAATCCCGGCATGTGGGCTAGCCAGCAAAAGCACAATGGGGAGAGGTTCTCTGGTCATGGGGATCGGGGATCTCATGGTGGCGATTCTGGTCATGGTGGTGGTAGGCCATCATGGAATAGACAGTTGTCATTTGGCAGTGGAGGGTCTCCCAGGCCACCGCCCAGAGGACAGAGAGTGTGCAAATATTTTCATGAGAACGGACAGTGCAAGAAGGGGGCCTCCTGTGATTATCTGCACACATGATTGCTGTAACAGCATTCGATTTTGTACAGTCATTTTTATTTTGAGATGTTTAGTTAGATTATAACGCTTCAGTATGTTCTGTAAAACTTGTGCAGTAAAGCAGCTTACACCACTTAGCTGCTTCATATTATATTTTGCTTTATTAGTCACCACTACCTGTAGTTTTGAATTTGTTGATGATCGAGGAAATGATGCCTCTCCGTGTAGGACGAGGGCAGTGGTTTAGGCTTTTGGGCCTGGCAACTGCGTCATGGAAATGCATTTGATCAAATGGAGTTTGGTCCCACATGCATCTGCTTGTTTGTCACTAACCGGAGGGAGACTCTTCGAATCTGAATTATTATTTATTAATTCGATTGATAGGTTTCCCAGAAATTCGTGCACATTGCGGAACAGGTGCGGTGTATAATAACGACAATTATAAGGGAGGTCAAGTACATACAATACGAGGTAATCCTTTGGTATATACGCTCTACAGTCCATTAAATTGTTCAGTTTCTAAACCATGAAAAGCAGGCCATTTTTAAGTTCGTTCCTAACTTGCTCTGGGTTTTCTTATAGAAAATTGTTCTTGATTTTATAATAAATTCTTTTTCATGATAACACCATTTCTAGGGTGTCAAAGATATGAAATCTTTTGAGCTTTAACCAATCTTTTAACTTGCAAGAATGTGGATGAGTTCCTATTGATTGGGAGGGCACATCTGCTTGCAGCCTTGCACCACAGCACTCTCATATGAAGGCCAAAGCCCGGTGAAATCGGGAAAATCTCTCGTTTTTTTTTTTTTATTGAATAACAACACTTAGCGTGTTTGTGTTATATGTCCAAGCGCAATTAAAAACGGGCTTTCATTGGGATTTGGGAACATATAATGCTTGCAGCGGAGTTAACTTTGGCTGTTGGGGGCCAAATTGAGGAGTCCGGATTTCCTGCCCATGTTAATCGCATCTACACATGGAGAATATCTCATCCTCTACATAGTATTATGCAAGGGGAGATGTTTCCAATTCATGGGAGATAAGAGTATTGTGAGTAGGCGTGGACAGGAGATCCTGAGTCCAAATTGAGAGCGTTTTTTGGCTGGACATGTTCACTCATTCACTCCTATGTCTATCTTTTTTGGACTAAAGGAAGGAGGAGCAATGACTATTTTACCCCATTATAATGGTAACGTGGCATTCCCAACAATGTTTTCAATAACAAGGCTGTAAGACCCAACAGTCAAAATTTTTTCCTTGCAGCATTCCCTCCGAACCAACTTTGGTATACCTAATGGTGACTAAGAATTAAGAAAGCAGTTCAGTGCGGTTAACTTGTTTCTACTGAACATGGGTTATCTGAACATGATGGCTGTTCAGAAGGCTGTAGAGCCCATGATAATGTTCCACGTCAGTAATAAAATACATGGTACTCACACCTTTTATAGGGGGGCCCATGGAGTATTATCATTGGTTCCACAGCCAGCTGAACAGCCATCAGTCCGAATTCTTTTCTACCATTAGAGTGTTTGTGTTTCATTGGGGCGGGGGAAAGTTTGCAAGAGACTACTGCACCCATCACTGATAACTTGGCTGAGTACTAATAGGCAGGATACCTTTATTGTTTTGCTCCCATTATAAAGGGTTATTTGCTAAAATACCCCATATTGTTTTGTTTAACAGATTTACTAAAACCTGTCCTATAATTTATATTTTACACTTTTAGCAAAACACCTCTATATTTTGCAACCAATTTAATTAATTGGCCTTCTGTTAAGAATCATTTATATTGTTGTTTGGTAATTTTCACATGGCCACCCCAATCCCCATCAGCAATAAAAATTAATCTCCATCCTCCATCCTCCATCCCCTATCCCTGATTCTATAATTTTTTATTCCAAAATTGACCTCACTCTTTGATAGAAATGTCCATGCTTTTTACTCTTAGCTAAAACCCTACGTTCTCTCACATCATTATCTCTCTCTTGCTTCTATTTCATGTGGAGCTAGTTGTAAATAATTTTTCTTATCTATTCTGTTTCCTCTTCATCTAAGGCTCAGTACAAATACAAATATGTACAATATAAATACATATAAAATAATATAAAGTACAATGCATTGCACTATAATATTCCTTCTAAACTGAGCCTAAAGAAAAAAAAAATCATAAATTCATAAGGATAAATATGTGAAACAACCTCATTTCATATATTATCACATTCAGATGTTCAAACACTGTAAAATAAAGAAAAAAAAGAAAATTTTGACTATTCAAAATCTAGAGCCAGATCATTTTAGCTTTTTAAAATATCATAATTCAATTTTATCAAACACCTCCTTGGTACTAGAGTCGGTGCAATAGATAGGCTCAGTTTGGAAAGAGTACATATCCAAATATATACAATACAAATAATACAAAATACAAAATTTTGCACTAACCATATTGTATTTTATTTGTATTTGTATTTCTTTTGAACTGAGTCTAAGGTTGCGTTTGATTGCATTGTAATTTTATTTGTATTAATACCAACACATGGGAGTGCAAATGAAAAAAAATGTAAATTCTTGTATGTTTAATTTTGTTTAGTGTTGCTGCTAAATATATAGCCGAGGGCAACAACATAATTTGAAGCGTTTGAGGCCGATGGATCCAACCCGCTGAGAGAAAGAAGATGTTAGAGGCCCAGGAGTGTTCCTAGGGGCGAAGACTCTGATAATAAAGTTAGCAGAAGGTTGCGAGGTGTCAGACAAGCAAGAGAGGAGACATAGAGCTTAGGTTCCGGTGTGTTTACCTCAATGTGGAAACCCCTTTTATAGTCAGAGTTGCCTTAGAAAAGGAGCAGGTGGGGGCAGGTGCCAACGGTTGGCAGTGGTTAGTGATGAGCGACCTGGATACACTCGGTTGATGCCATGTGTCAAGATCCCCAGGTCGGCTAGATATTCCTACATCACTTGCCCACCCAATTTCGAGGCCATAGAGACCGAGGCTAGTTGGCGAGTTGTGTAGAGGCGTCGGCTTCATCTGAAGAGAGTATGGTAGATATGCGTAGAAGCGTTGGTCTCAGCTGCAGAGCTCTTCTCAGCGGTTGTGCGGAAGCTGCTCCTCTGTTCACCCTTTATGTCAGTGAAAGACCATCCTAGGCCGAGGGGATGTGACCGTAGCCCGTGCGAGTGTACGCTATCTGTGTCCATTGCCTACACCTCGTATGATCGTTGATGTCAAGTTGTATGTCTGTACGCAGGATGGGCGTCGAGGTCAATTGAATGAAGTCGTGCACGAGATAGTGTCGGGGGGATCCGGTTTGGCATACCCTTGAGCTAGAGTTGGTGGGAAAATCGGCCCCGCCTCTTGGCGGTGTTTCGTCTCCTGAGGTCAATGCCACATGGAGCCTGTGGTTCGGTTTGAGCCATACATTTTTTTTTAAATAGGGAGGTTGGTTGAGTGACTCTTCACCATTTGCACGAAACCTTTCGCCTTGGAGCTACTGAGAACACATTGGCTATCAACAACCAACCCCTTAGACCTTCTTTAACTAATATCTTTAGGTAAAGAATTATTGTCCTCAACATGTCGGCCTCAGATTCTAGTTGTGAGGCTTATAGCCTTCCTAATTGGAGTAATCCTAGTAGCACTGCTAGTTATGATGGGAGTGACAGTGGTGACTTTGAGAGCTCCTCTCGGATGCCTAGCAACCAAGTGTTGAGGGAGAGGCTCGTGTCTCGTGGGGACGAGCACGACCAACAGAGAGCGGACTCTGCCAATGAGAGTACCGGTTCCATGCGACCAAGGAACGACACCCTAGGGAATGTTCTTGGGCTCCCTAATGTGGTAGATGTGGAAGAGGCCGAGGATCCCATGCTGAGGAGCGGGCTGAGGTAGAGAGCCTAGGCGTGATGCTGGGGTGTTATCCCCGCTCTGACCTAGATAGCACTCTCGGTAATGGGCAAGCTAGCATGTTGGCTGAGAAGTACTACATTCTGGGGGACTATAGGGTTAGAGTCCCCTGCGTAGGTGACATGCCTTACCTTGTTCTTGAAGGGGAGGTGTGCGTCCATGAGCATTACCTTCACTTCGGGTTACGGTTCCCCTTGCACTCCTTCATTCCCGAGATCTTGAACCATTATAACCTCACCCTTGGCTAGCTCGCTCCCAATGCTATTAGGACGATAGTGGTTGTATTGGTGATAGCCCATTTCCAAGAGGTGTCAATGACACTAAACATATTTCGGAGTTTGTTCAAACTAAGGAAGCATCCTAACAGGGAAGGCTTGTGGTACTTCCAAGGCCGACGGGAAAGGGTGGTGGACAACTTGTTGTTTGTCCTCAACTGGAAGAAGAAATTCTTCTTTGTTAGTTGCCCCCAAGGCTGGTCCTTTCAGTCCAGTTGGGGGAACCCAGATACGCTAGCCAAGAGGATCCAGCCACACAATAGCGACAAGGATAAGGCAATGATGAATTGGCTTCGACTGGGCGAGACGATTCATGTTGGACACTTGGTGAAGGAGGAGGCCTTGGTAATGGCTGGCCTTAGTCCTATCCCCCTTGAAATGGATGCTCCCACTGTCTGCCAGTTGTGAAATTGCTTGAGCTTTGTTGGTGCTCTTCTAACTCGTTTGTTTCTCTTGTTCGTAGCAATGGAGGGCAATAGAAATGAAGGGAGATGTCAGGAGCATGTGTCGGCGTTCACCGGAGGAGGGTGCCACCAGACAACGGGTCGAGGTTGAGGTGGCCCATAAGAAGACACTGGCACAGAAGTGCCCTGTAGAAACGGCCCAAGACCCTCATGCAAAAAGACTTCAGCTGCGTGAGCAACGTTGGCCCAAGGGGACCTCAGGCGGGTCACATTAGGCAGTGCCTTGGTCGTCTGACCCCAGGAGAACAAGCCGATCATCGCTAGTCAGACATTCCAACCGTAGTGGGGTGTGCAAGAGGGAGACTCCCTGTCGGTTCTTTGCGTCGGTCAGCAGCTAGCAGTTGATATAGTCCTTCCCAGGGACCACCAGTCTTGGATGTAGCATTCAGTGGATTCGGTCTAGGACACACTTTCAAACAAGGCCGCTAAGGTATGCACGTACTTTTTCGAGTCTGTTGTGTCGCCGAGGTCTTCTTGGCAGAATGTAACTGACGCTTTTCCTTTTCATGTGCAAATGGTCTCTTGCTTAGTTGGCCTTTGCAATAAGGTTGAGGTGCTGATCCAGTAGCTTCGGTAGGCGCAAGAGGAGATTGAGTGCCTAAAGCAGCAGACGATCGAGGTGTAGTCCAGTCGGGAGGGTTGCCGAGGGCCAGACATGTGATGTGTATGAGTGTCGC